TTCTCCGCTAAGCTTATTTCGCTTAGCATGATACTCTCCAGGTCCTTCCATGCTGTCTCAGAGGATAAGACACTTCTGGGGAGAAGTCACCACCACCACCAAACAGCAGCTCCAAGCAGGAAAACAACACACCGCTGGCTGGAATGGCAACGTGAGTCTTCCGAGTCAAAGGCCAGAGTGTTCTCTACGGAGGTCTCTGGGCACGGAGCTGGCTGGGGGACTCCTGTCCCAGCTCATTTGGGGACTGCAGCTTGAGCGAGGCTAAGGGTGGCACCTTCACCGTCCAGGGACTCTCGCAGCAACATGTCCTCTCTGTCTGACAGCCAAGCCTGCAGATCAGTCTTAGAAGCACCCTGGTTAGCCCTGGTCCTGGCTCCTAAAAGGTTCTCTTGTTTCACATGGACCAGCACACAGAAACACTGGCGACTTATTTTTGCAAATCCCTTAGGGCTTGGCACGACCCACAGGCCTGGGAGACACTGGTCCTATAACAGCTACAGGTGGGGAATGAGCGGGGAGCCAATTAATGGTCAAGGTCATTGGAAAAACCATGAAAGCGGCCTCAAGTGTTAGGCCCCGAGGGCTACTTGAGCGAGCGGCACACTCAAGAGCTCAGCGAAAACCAGCCCGACCTGCACGCTGCCAGAGCATCTGTTTCCTGAAGGGCCGAGGCCCAGTGAGACATGATGTCATCGGCTTTTATCGCATTTCAGCGAGAGGAGACAGAAAAACAAGGCCTGGAGGAGGTAAAGGGCCCAAGCTAGGAAAAACCACCATTTCCAGCCTTGGATCAGGTCCCCGAGACCCAGGACTAAAGCTGCCTTGTCATACTCAGCTGGGCTGGGGTGCCTGAGACGACCCCAGGACCCTGAGCATGTTCCTTCCATGGAATTGTCTGTAAAATAAAAATGTTTCATTTCTTAAAAGTTCTCTCTAAATGGAAGGTATTGTGGCCGGGGAGAAATAAAATATTTACTAGCTACATAAAACAGATGAAAAGTCCCTTTAATCTTAAGAAAAATAAAATTGAGCGAAATATTATGTATATAGCATTCACCTGTTGAAATAATGTCGTTCTTCTTTGGTGGTGATTTAATTTTAAAAAATTTGGGTAATTCTATTTCTGTCAAGGGCAAACGTTAACTCCATTTTATGTATGCATGTATTGATTGGTTTTGTCGTTAAAGTATTAATGAAATGCACGCACAGAGCTAAACATGAAATAATACCATTGACTCGTCATGAAAGCTTGCACCCCGGTCCCACCCCAGCTTCCTCCGATCTCTCCAGCCGCTCTACCTCCACCCAGCACAATCCCTTGTGTGTTCTCCTTTGCCTGGGCCGAGAAAGTAGCAGGTGTAGACCAGACGCCATTTCTTTAAAAAAAAATTTTGTTTTCTTTATTGATGTTAGAGAGAGGAAGGGGGAGAGAGAGAGAGATAGAAACATCGATGAGAGAGAACATCGACTGGCCGCCTCCTGCATGCCCCCCACTGGGGATCAGGCCCACAACCTGGGCATGTGCCCTGACCAGGGATCGAACCAGCCACCTCTTGGTGCAGGGGTGGATGCTCAACCACTGAGCCACACTGGCCGGGCCCTGCCTGCTTCTTAACATTTTTTTTTCAGTTGAAAAGTAATACCCTCTAGAAAAGTGAACAGATTAATTGGCACAGATAAAATGTGCTGTCATAATGCACACACACCCATGGCATCATCGTCCAGGTCAAGAAGTGAAACGTGGCCAGCATTTCAGAAGTGCCTCCGCTTCCTGCTCTCCTCCCGGAGGTAGCTGCTCTCCTCGTGCTCACCAGAGGTGAACTGTGCCCTTCTGACATTTCTAAAAATGGAACTCCTCGGTGTGTGAAAGGTAGGCCTCGCTTCTCTGACTTACCATTTCTTATGAGACTTTCTCATGTTGTTGCGTGCAATCCTAATTGGTCAATTGCCATTTCTACAAAGGTTTCAATGGGCGCAATGATGTCTCCGCGTTGCGGTTGATGGGCACGTGGTCTGTTTCTGGTGCTGCTACTGCAAACAGAGCTGTCATCGCCATTTCTGTGTCCTGGTCCATGGGTGCGCGGACGTGTGATGTGTGTACACCTACGAGCTGAGCACACGTGGGCTCAACTTTAGCAGGTAAGGAGAGAGGTCAACCAATTTACATTCTCACCTATAACGCAGTTGAGTTTCAGTTGCTCACGTCCTTGCAAACACTTGATACTGTCGGGCACTGTCACCTTAGCCATTCTGGTGGGTGTGCAGTAGTGGCGGTGTGGTTTGGATTGACATTTGCCTGATGCCTAAAGGAGGTTGAATAGCTTCTCATTTGCTTTTGGACACTGGGTTTCCTATTGGGAAATTCTTAAGACTTGTCCTTTTTTCTTTCATGTTGCCTTTTTCTCGATTTGTAGTTCTTTCATATTCTGGCAATGAGTCCTTTTCCGATACACGTGTAATTTGTATGTGCTATGGTTTGCCTTTTTATAGAATGATGGTCTTGTTAGAAGGTCTTGCTTTAAATGTGGCCATCTCTCTTGCTCTTCTCTTTGATCTTGGCCCTCTTTGCTGCCTTGTAGCTCTCTGGTGCCTTTATTCCCCCCCACCCCCCAATGCCTTAAACACATTTTAAAAATAGTTTCTCCAGCTTTCCTAGATGTTTCCCATGGAGGAATTGGGCCGAACACCCTCTGGCAATCACCATTAATTTGAGTGGTTCTTTCTTCTGGCATTTCCTGCTTCTCAGTGTCCATTCAGAATGCTATTTCTTGACTTAACATTCCAGACGTTTTACATTGACTTTGTCTTGTGGTCGGGGAGCATCTGTCTACCTGACACGTATACTTCACAGTCTAGCCTCTCAAATGAACCGTTTCCTGATCCCCCACCATCAGCCATGTTTACTTTACATTGTATCAAGTCTCCCTGAATGTTCGCATGGTTGACAAGAAATGTTCAGAGTCAGCTGTATCTGGGGTGACTCTCTCTGAGGTTTTCTCTGAGCTCCCCAACAGCATTCTAGATTTTCCGGAATAGTCTCCATTCCAAATGCAGCGAGCTCTCGCATGCTCAGACCGAGCCGCAGCAGATCCCCCCACTCAGGAGCGCGGCGAAGGACCACGCTCCGTGGAATCGATCCCCTTACCGGCGTGGAGCTGCGGTGAAGGGGGTCCAGAAGCAGCTGCTCAGCAAGTCGCTCTCGGCGGACCACCTGGCGCCCACATCCCAACGCCGCCGATCTTCGCTCCTACCCCCTGAGCAGCGGCCCTTGTGGGGGGAGACTTGGGAAGTGGCCTCGGAAAGAATGGCAGCTGCTGGGGGTGGGCACAGAAGGAAGCGGTCGTCCAGAGGGGTGGGCGGCCGGGCAGGCTCTCACGGAGGCGGCAGGGAGTGCCTGCTTTCAGAGAACAGCGGACGTGCCGAGAGTGTGCCCAGGAGGGAGAGGGGCCTGGGGTGGAGGCACCCAGGAGCCTTGGTGGGCTGGGTTTTGAGGACCAGGTAGGAAGGATGTGCAGGGTTGGGAGAACAGTCCAGAAGAAAGGGTAGGCTAGTGGAACAGGGTGTGTGTGTGTGTGTGTGTGTGTGTGCGCGCGCGCACGTGTGCATATGAACGGCACTAATGGGCACAGCCTTGTTCAAATATAAAACAGTAAGTGGAAGGTGAGCTCAGTCTCTAGGATCAGAAGGGCCCACGGAAGTCAGGATGAGAGCCGTGTGCGTGCGTAGTTAGGATTGGGGTGCAAGTGAGGACCACGGAGTGACGTTCTGGAGTGCGGGGTCCTAGGTCTCTGCTCCTTAAACAGCAGCTGCTGACCTGGGGTTCTGCTGGCCTGGGAAGAGAGGTGCGGAGCCATGGGGAATTTTGGTGAAACTTTCTCGCTTTAAATTTTCTTAGTACCTTCCAAAAAGCATTTCCGTATTAAAATAAACACGAAAAAGTGAAAGAATGCAAAATATGTAGAGGTGTCTTTTATGATTAAAAAAATAACAATTTCCAAGACATTTGGACTCCCTCCAAAAGACCCCTCCGTGTTGGCGCCCTCTTGTGGCCACTGGGACAACTACGGACAAGACCTGAGAAGGCAGCCTCGGCCCATTGAACTTCATGGCAACTCTACCAGCACGCCCACCGATGAGAAAACCGAGGCCCATCAGGGGGGTGTAACGTGCTCGAGGTCACAGAGCTGGTGAGCAGCAGCAGCAGGACTCAAACCAGCATCTGAGTCCAAAGGCAAAGTTCTTTCCACAAGAGCCTGAGGGGTTGATAAATGATAAAAGAAGGAAAGAAAGAAAGAAAGAAAGAAAGAAAGAAAGAAAGAAAGAAAGAAAGAAAGAAAGAAAGAAAGAAAGAAAGCTGAGATAGATTGGTGCTAAATCACGGAAGGTCTCGAATGCCAGGCTGAAATAAAGGCAACCTGCCAAAAGGATGTTCGTGGCCCGCCAGGGTCCATCTGGGGGAGCTGAAGGCCGGGGCCACAGCAGATCTGGTCATTCTCATCCCAGCTCCTCGGGGCCACCTCTTCTCCCCGAGACTGATCAGGGGCACCGTTCCCGTGGCAGAAGTAGGAAGCGAGCCTCTGTTTCTACCTGGTGTTGTCCTGCAGAGCACGGAGGACTCAGCCTCCCTGGCCAGCGCCTTCTGGAACTGAACGCTGCAGAAAGGGTGTCCGTCATCAGTAACTGCTCTCAAGGTGTCCTTCCCACGACGAGGAAATGTTTTACAGTGGACGCAACAGGAGAGAGTGGTATTATTGAGTCTGAAAGGGAATCGATGGAGAATGGACCTGGGGTGGCTGCAGTTTTCCAGACCTATTCCTTTCAGTCTGGAGGTCAGTGAGACAAAACATCGTGTTATTATAAAAATCAGGAGCTTTATGGTTTTTTTTTTTTTCATACTAGGGAAAAGAAACTTCAGAAAGGACCCCCACACGGGAACTCAGTGCAAGGACAAAGGGAAGAGCTGTCTGTGGCTTGAGATCCGTTGAAACCTGCTCCTTTGACTAGGAGATGCTGGCTACGGTTTGCAATGGGATGCTGGTGTCTTGCTCCTTTTTCTTTTCTTTTTTCAGTATGTGTCGAGAGAGTTTACTAAGAAACCAGTCGACATCCTGGAGATCCTCAGGCCACCTCAGGTACTGCTGTTTCTGTACAAAGCCTCTGACAGACGCATGTTTCATCAGCTGGTACTGGGACAAGGACCCGACCACCACCATGATGAGGGTGCTGTTGAGATCGGCTAAGCTCCTGCTCCGGGCACAGCTGAAGGCTTCCAGGCACCACCCATCTTGAAGGAAGTGTCGGCTCACAAGGCAGATGATCTTTCTGCTGTTCCACACAGCGGTGTGGATGTTGGCGATGAGGTCTTCCCCCGGCATAAAGTCTCTCTCTTCAAAGCACAGGTTAAATCTGTTTCGGTTACTGTACTGCGTGTCTAGATGTTTTAGCAAAGCATTCTGCACCCACTCAAAGTCTTTGCTGCTGAAGCACAAATAGGCATCGTATCTGTATGTGTCAGGTTCTCTTGTCTGGGTTTGGTCCTTGAGCAGGAGTCTCTCTGCTGTCTTGTAACAGAGGAAACAAGACCCCCGGAACTTCGTGACGACGAAGACGGTCATGAGGAACAGAGTCAAAGTCACAGTGAATAAGATGAAAAGGGAAAACTTTAGGGACTTTAAGCTTTCCTCTTCATCACAATCCTCCGTGGACAGAGAGTAGAGGGGAGTCCCAAGGAGCCAGTTGGGGTACAGGCAATATATGTCATCAGGAGACCCAATTATGGTGACATTGGTTTGATTGAGCCACTTGATGAAAGTGCTGAGCTCACACTCACAGATGAACTTGTTATGAGTTATGTCCACGACACTAAGTGGTGCAAATACATGAGGATCAGGAGCTAGGAGCTGGTTTCTGGACACATCGAGTATCTCCAAATTGGGAGGTAGGTCGCCAAGAGAAAGAACCGTCAGCCTGTTGGAGTTGAGGCTGAGTGTCTTTAATGCAATCAAATAACTAAATACCCCTGGTGGGAGGAAACTCAGGTAGTTATTATGCAAGTACAGGACTTGGAGACGGGAAAGCCCCTTGAAAACATCCCAACAGGACCCAGTCTCCCAGGCAAGTTGCAACATATTTTCTCCAAGGTAAAGTTGTTCTAAGCTGAGATTCTCTGAAGGGACAGGAGGTTGAGCACAAAAAGAAAGTCGATTTTGATTTAAAATGAGAATCTGGAGGTGAGGGACCTGGAGAAGGAAGTAGAGATTATTCAGATTTTCTAGCTTGTTCTCTGATAACTGGATAAAGTTGGCTGTGAGTGGGATGTTTGGCAAAGTCACCAGTTTATTGCCGCCCAAATAGATAGTAGATATGCTTGAGATAAAATTAATTGTTTTCAGAGCATTATCCCGGAGGTCCAAGGTACTTAATTTTCCCAGGGATCTGAATGTGTTCTCCTGAATGACCCCAATGTGATTCTTTTGCAGATCAATATAGGCTACGTTGGGCAGTCCATAGAAGTTAGAATTGTACAGTTCCCCCAGAAGGTTAAATGACATATTAAGGACTTGGAGGTTGTTGAGTCCATAGAAAGCCTCGTCTGCAATCTTGTTTATCTTGTTTTGGGCAACACTCAGAAGCTTCAGCTCCTCGAGGGCCTCAAAGAGTCGGTAGCTCAGGGAGAAGATAAATCCACTCGAAAGGTCCAGACGCCTCACTGAACTTCTGGCCAGGCCAGCAAACGTGTTCTGGTCAGGATCTTTGATGTTTTGGAAGCCAAACCCAGGACCCATAATGTGGTGGGTAAGAACCAGAGAGAAAATCTGGCTACCAGTGATGGCGTTGCTGAAGTTTCGCATGATGTCGACGGTCCAGCCATTTCCAGACACGTCGAGGGTGTCTAGGACCATGTTTCTGAAGGGGTTCATGCACCTCTCCCAGTCCACGGAGACCCTGCTGTACAGGGTGGTAGAAGCCAGCCTGAGAAGGGAGAGTCTTTTCCCCTGGAGGGGCTGCAGCTCGGGCTCACACACAATGGGTATTTGGTTGAGGAAAAAGTCAACGGATTCCAAGGAATTTAATTCCCGGAATGAAGGATGCAGGGCAAGGCTATGAATGTGATTGAAGGACAGGTCCAGGCGAGACAAAGACTCCAAGTTTCTGAAATAACCATTTTTTAACACAGCGTCAGAGAGACCACAGGAAAAGAGTCTAAGTTCAAACAGACGGGGTAGTCCCTGAAAAGCATCTAGATGTAAGAAGTCTATCTGAGTTTTGCCCAAGTCCAAGATTCTGAGGTTGGGCAGGTTTCTGAAGGCTTCTTGGTCAATAGTCAAGGGCGTGAACTGAGCCCCGATCTCCAGCAGCAGGAGCTGCTCCAGGAAGGGGAACGACGTGGCTGTGATGCTCTTGATGTAATTGAAGCTCAGCAGGAGGCGCTCGGTGGTGTTGGGGACCTGAGGGACCTCAGTGAGGTTGCAGAAATAATATACGGCTATCAGACCGTTCGAGGAGCAGGGAGAAAATCCAAGCACAGGACTGGACATGAGCACCACTCCTAAGAGAAGGTCAAGGTGATCTCCCATGGTCCTATGGAGAAGGGAGAATGAAAACACAGCTATGTAAACCGGAGGCATTGCACATGGGTCTTTAGAACATGGGGATCTTTTGAGCTTTGAGGTAATGAGCCTGCTCTTGCAGACCCTTTGCTCCTCTGTCTCCGTGGACATGGCTATTAGCAGATATGTTCTGGCATAGACAGAAGTGTTGTTACCGTCTTCCTATCGCTTCTATCAAATTTTCTACATGCCACAGTGGTTCTTAACTGCTCTGAGGTCATGGACCCCTTCGAAAATCTGGTGGTAGCTCTGATTCTTTGCCTTCTAAAAATGCACTTTTGCATCACAAATCATGTTTTATATTTGGGGGGTTCACTGACCTCCTGAAGCCTGCCCCTTTCAATCTCACGCTGAGAACGCTTTGTTTATATATAACAACCACCATGTTTTATATTCTACAGTAGGGCTTGGAAAACTTTTCCTGTAAAGGGCCAGATGATAAATATTTTAAGCTTTGCGGTCCAAATGCCATAGTTTGTTGACCTCTGTTCTAGAAGAAAAGAGAATAGAAACTTTGGTTTTACAAGTGAGGACTTTAAGTGGCTGTAAGATAAACATGTTCTGATACTGAACAGCCAGGTTGGTGGGGAAGAACAAACTCGGCCCCCAAGTTGCTGCCAGTTTTGCAGAGGCTGCTTTATCCCAGCTGCAGAATGGATTCTCATCTCATGTAACCGGACAGAAAAGTCCCTGCAGAGACAGGGGCGTGAGGATACTCACTGGGAGAACAGAGTTACATCTCGTTTCACGCCTGTCTTTTCATAGGTGACCCCGTACTGGCCCCCAAATGCACACACTCAACTCTGTAGCTCGACCTTAAATTTGTGCTAACAAGCGATGAAAGAGAGCCCCAAACCACATCCATCCTAATACACTGACTTTTCAAGTCCATAATAAGAAAGCTAAAATTAAACAGAAAAGGTAGATAAGGCCAGCTAAACAAATAGATTGTAAAGACAAATATTTGGGCCTCGTATGGCAAAGACACCACGCGGACCCATGCTCTTATGAAATACAGAAAAACGGGCTCTAACTACATTTCATCTCTGAAGCAGACCTCTGTGGGGAAAGTGCCAGGACAGGTGAACAGAGGAGCCAGGTGAGCCAGTGAGCGGACAGGAGTCTGCAGGGCAGCTCATGAAGGCAGAGGTGGGCAGAGGGACCACCCACAGGGGTGTCCTGGATGGGAGGGAGCCAGAAGCCAAAGCGGGTTGAAGTAAATATAACGAGCAGCGATACAGGGCAGATCTAATCAACAAACGACGGGCGGGTGATCGAGTTGTTTCAGACCCGATACAGCCTCCGAAGGACGAGCTTTCAAAAGTAGGGTCCATCCGGACAGCGAGAGAGCAGGTAGGGGCAGGTGCGAACACAGGGCCATCCGGGAGAGAAGACCAGGTCACCTAAAGCCCTAAACCCTACCGGGCTGAAGCCAGCGGGAGCAGGAGGTGTGGAGCCAGGCCCAGAGGAAGCCTGTCCAGCTCGGGCCGCTTGCTTCTCCCACGGTTCAGGCTGCAGAGCTGCACCAAGACCCCCTCACAGGAGTGCGCCCTCTACTGGTGTCCGGAATCCAGTTTTCTGAGCGCGAGTAGAGGAACAAAGGGAAGTTCCGGACAAGGACAATGTGCTCCTAAACCATCATTAAAAAGATGACGAGAGGCCGCACGAACAATTACTTTTGCTGTTACCTCTGCCATCCGGCGACATATGGAGTCCTTCCTAAATATCAGCGTGCAGTGCAAAATTCCAATAAATCCACAGGCTTCTGGGGAAAAGGCGACTAGAAGCAACACTCAGAAACTTCGTCAGTGGCCCATAAAAAAACCAGTAAAAGCCGCAGCACCGTTGTAGACATGTCACGTGGTTGAGAAGTACATAAACACCACAAAAAATAGAACAGAATCCCTGCACCTCGGAAAACCCGAGCATTGCTTGTGGAGGGCATCAGAGGGTCTATTGTGCAGGGTGGAGGCAGGGAGATTTGGTATCAGACACGAAGGTGGACTTAATGCCACCAAACTGTACGGGCAAAATGGTGAATTTTATGTTATGTATATTTTACCACAATCAAAAAAAAAAAAAAATTAAAGAGAAAAAAACAAAAAAACCAACATGACTGATACTTGAGCCCGAGTCGCGGAAATTCAGGTTTCAGGCCTGGTGGAGCCTGGGAAATACATTTTGCAACCAAATCCCAAGTATTTGAAGCGCGTGGTTCCTGGCGTGAGAAACGCCGGCCCCAAGGAGCCCCTCCGACTCAGCAGGCCCGCGATTCTCCAGAGGAGGGGCTGGTGAGAGCACACAGGGCCGCTGGAGGCCCGGTTCTTACTGCGAAGGCTGGGCCAGTGGGTGCCCAGGGCTCTGAGGGGTAACAGGAGCAGCCTGGCAAGGCAGCCTCCATACTCCTGCCAAGCGCTGTTAATTCCGATAATGAGGCCAGAGGGAGAAGGGTCAGCATCTCTTTCATCAAGTTCAATTCATTTAGCTCTAATCCCAGCCATTAGCAGACCAGGTTCCCTTTCTTGACTTAATTGCCTGGACGGTGTTGCTGCTGCCCTGAGCTTGGGCGAGTGATGGGCAGGACGTCTGCATAGGGAACGGGCACCTCTGTTCTCCGGGTACGGGAGCCAGGGCCCCTCCTGTGCTAATTTAACACTTGATCCTTAACAAGTAATACCGGTAAGAGGCTCCTTGGTGGGGCCTGGCATTCTGAGCGGGGCCTCCAGGCTGTAGAGGGAGCACTGCCCCGGTAGGTGGCGGCCCGCATCGAGCAGGTGGCCGGGACACTGGGTGTGCAGGACTCCGTCTGAGAACACTGAACTCATTTCCAAATGGGTGCTTGGAAGAGTTTCTCCAAAGTTCACGTAGCAGTAAAAGTCCTGGACTGAGTCCAAATGTGGGTGCAAAATACCCGTTACGCTTTGGACAAAGGCTCAAGATCAGTGGGCAGAGGCACATGTGTTCTCTAGATGCAGGATCCCGTGGGGACAGGAGCACGAGAGCACCCTGAACCCCGCACCACTAGCGTCCTGCCTCGGACCGTCGCTCCCTAGACACAAGTCCAGGGTCCTTCGTGAGCCACCGTGGCTTCCAGGCTCTTCAGGGGTGACCTCTTGTTTGCTCGCCCCACCTCTGCAGTCGTTAGAATGCAGGCTTGTCCTGGAGAACTCTTGCCAGGCCGAGGCTCCGCTGTGTGGGGGCCACTGCGCCAGAGGTTGACGGGGCACTGCCCACAGGGGTTCACGGTCCTAGACACCGGCGCAGTGGGGCTCTGGTGGGGCCGGTGAGCTCGGCACATCCCCGGGCCCCGCGCCAGCCCTGCCGAAGGAGACGCTCAGCTGGGCCTGGCGGGCTGTCGTATCAAGGCCTCTGGGTGACTGACGCACACTCACGTCTGGGAACCACGTGGGCTCAAGTGCAGAGAGAGGACAGAAATGCATTCTAATGGCCACAAGCCAGTCCCGTGGGCTTGTGCGCTCCTCCCGCACAGCTCCGAGCTCCCATCATCCTCCTGGTCTTTTCAAGGGACTAGCATTACCCCCATTATACAGATGAGGACACTAAGCCCAGGGAAGGGAAGTCACTTACCTAAGGTCACACAGCCCTCTCCCGTCTCCCTGAAGCCTCATGCCTCTGGGGTGGCTACACTGTGGTTCAGGGGTGCTGCTGTAGCCCCCCTCTCTGTCATCATGGCTGATCCTGTGGTCCCTTCCCCTCAGTCACAGAGGGTGTTGTCCCTGGAAGGTTAACCTGGCCCTCGCAGTCCTGCGTCCCTGAGACGGCCCCTCGGAAATGGTGACGTCCCTCCTGTCACAGCCTCCCCCCCCCCCAGTTTTTCCTGCCTTGACCATGGCACTGGCTCATGGCCTCATTCCCCTGGGCCTCCCCTGCCCTTAAACTACCAGCCTCCTTGGTCTCTCCAGCACTCCAGGGCACACAGCCCTTGTCTCCGAACCCTGTCCCAAGCCTTCGCCTGTCCTGCCTCCTTGCCCTGCTCCCCCAGCTGCCTGACTCCAAGCCCACCGGGGAGGGGAGCTGAGCTCTGTTAGAAACCCACACCCTGATGTGCAGCTGCCCAGCACGACTCCCCACGTCCCAAGTTCCCCACGTCCCTCCCCTCGGGGTGGTTCCGAACCTTCATCCGCTCTGCTCCCCTCCCACCTTGCCTTGGCCCTCTCGGAAGCCGTCAACCCTGCTTCATGTCTGGAGAAAGGAAGGCCTGGGCTTGACCTAAAGCATGCCGTGGCTGCTGGGGACCACTGTGCCAGGGCAGCGACACCCACATGAGGGCCCACGGGCGTCCCGGCAGGTCTCGAGGCTTTGGCCAGGCGGAGGGCAGCGCACCTGTGCAAACCCAGGTGCAAAAGGTGCTCCATGGCCAAGTCAGGCCGCCCACGCGTGCAAGCCCACGGGAATGGGCACCTCACCCCTGCTCCTTAGATCCACCACACACCTGAGCGGCCAGTCTTTTTTTTTTTTATCCTCACCCGAGGACATTTTTCCATTTTTTGTTCAGGTAGAGTGGGAGGGAGAGAGAGGAACAGAGAGAGAGAGAGAGAAACATCAACGTAAAAGGAACACATCGAGTGGCTGCCACCCGCACAACCGACCAGGGCCGGGGACAAACTGTAACCGAGGTACATGCCCTTAGCGGGAACCGAACCCGGGTCTCTCCGGACCGCAGGCCGACCTGAGCGGCCAGTCTTTAGCATCTTCCGTGAGCATCTGGGTGAACAGGGCAGGGTAAAAAGTCCCACAGCTGATGACTGTTCTTCAAAGAGGAGTCAGCGCCCAGCGGTGCGGCTCAGTGGTTGAGCGTTGACCCACACACCAAGAGGTGGCTGCTTCTATTCCCGGTCAGGGCCCATGCCCAGGTTGTGGGCCTGATCCCCGGTGCGGGGCATGCAGGAGGCAGCCAATCGACGTTCTCTCTCATCGATGTTTCTATCTCTCTCTCCCTCTCCCTTCCTCTCTCTCTAAAATCAATAAAGTAAAAA